ATACATTTCTATTACTGATGGGTCAAGGATCAAAAGACGTAATGTTATTTAAGTTTTCTTTTTATTTTTTACCAGCTTTTACCCGCGGCTTCGCTCGCGTGAAAAGGATAAAAAGTAGCCTATGTGACATATACCAATACACACAGCGCCATCTATACCAATAATTTCGTTTTTCCTCGAGAATATCAAATTTTTCCGGGATAAAAAGTACCCTATTATTTAATCCAGACTTCTAACTTTACGTCTGCAAAAATTCAAAGCAATCGGTTTAGTATTTACGGCGTGAAAGCGGAACAAACAAATAAACTCACTTTCAGATAATTTATAATATAAGTAAGTAAGTAAGGATTAGAACGTATTGTTTTAATATCGTACTTATCTTTTTTAATCTGTTTTCTGTGTGTAATAAAACTTCATCTTTGAAATTTTTGCCTAGTTGCCCTAGTGTCTTGGCATGCCTCAAATCTGGTTTTTTATTCTATTAAGAGTAAAACACACTTCTCGCTAGCTGTGTGCTTTGATTATGCTCGTTCAATTTCAAATACTACTGATTTCGAAACTCTGAACTCAAAAAGCTTTTGCCCGCGTCATGCGTCTAAGTCCTCTTTGGTTTATTGTATCTCTGTGCTCTAGGTACTGCTAATAGAGGGCCTAGTGCGATTTTTTTTACGTTAATACGAGATATATTTTTATTAGATACGATTGGTTTGTTAAATTACAGTTGGCCAATTAGAGTGCCGAACGTCATACACGAAACAAAGTCCCACTAAGTTACATCTGCAAGTTTAGTAGCTTTAGCAGTTGTAGACAACCACCACTCAAACGTCTGCGTCACATCAGCGCACACGTTTTGAACGCCCGCGCGGCGCGCGCGCTTACGCGCCGTGTACGTCTCCGACTTAAAGCCTATTTTCTACCAATCTACGACTGTTATATCAAATTAAAAAATACCAGTATAAACCTGACATTATAAGGAATACAAATTTGTGAATATTAAATAGTAATTCTTATCGTAAACATTACAAAAAACCGTTTATCTGTACAATTATGGTGAACTTTCAAATTAATGATGTTACTTGATGGTTGTTTTTTTCCAGTGTGGATGTTCGAAATATAGACGCGGTCGGTCACGCAGGTTACAGAGCTGGCCTTATCTCCGGTATATCCATATCTCACGTTGACATTGATTTGAAAATCGAACAAATTGTCGTAAGTATAATTATTATATTAGGAGTATAATAAGTTGTTCTGATAAATATCCTGTTTTTTCGTGATGGAAATCCTCATTGACTTCTTACGTAGTGGGGACGACGAGGGGGCGTGTCGGGCTCCTACCGGCTAAACCACCGCGGTGATCCTTCACTGCCTGTGACCGTGACCCGGGTTGCCCTTACGGAATCACCACACCCGGTAGGCCTCTACCTACCGCTATGTTTGCGGCAGGTCCCGCCACCTTAGCGGCCCTAGGAGCCTGCTTCCCTTCTTCAATTAGCGCGCGTGGAACACTACGCTAACGCCTACTCCCGCCTACATAGCGGACGTCTGACTCCCCCGGTCAGTCACCCGCGGGCTGATAAATATCCTTACTGAAATACTTTATAACTTACAGTAACTCGTTTGCATGACTATTTTGACTCTTTAAACTATAATAATAAATAATAATAAATCTTTATTCATTATAAGAAATTGGTCATAGTACAGATAAACATCTTAATTTAAAATCAGAGATCTTACTAGGTTTGAATGCCTGTACTAGGAGGAATATCCTGTGTCACAGGCGAAAGGAGCACTCACAATATTACTAATTCTAGGATAAGTTATTTATATAAACAAATTCCTTAACATAAGTAATCGATCAAAATTAAAGTAAAGTTGATTATTTAATATACATACATACATACACACGTACATAACTACATATATTGATGGGTAACTAAATATTAATATTATCGTAAAAGTACATTTATTAAACAAGTAATTATATTACCTTAATTGCAAAACATAGATAGAGATACATATATATTTATATAAAACATTGTAGGAACTATAGTACTGAAGAATTTGATACATCAACAGAAACATAATCTGTTTTAATTAGACCATAATAAAGACTTACCATAATAAAATTATGTTCACAGTCTAAACTTCACCTAGTCATCCAGGGTCAGGATTACTCTGATGTAATCAACGACTTTATCAACAAAACAGTTCCTGCAAAACTGGATGAATTTAGTGTAAGTATTTCGAGCAGCCAAGCCACGAGCTTTACGTACCTACTTACATTATAAATAGGAGCAGATTAACTTCTACTGACTGGAAGTCTACTATAGGAAGTCACTAAAGATTTTTTTTGTGTAATAACTAGCAATAAATATAATAAAAAAATAATTGTAGTTGAAACTTAGAGCTTTAAAAATTAATTCACGTGAGTAACTTTATTTAATGTCATTTGTATGGCAATGTCAACTATATGTGTAAAACCTCCTTTGTAGCGCGATAAGAAAAATGGTGGTAATGTGGTGTGTTCGTATTCCCGCTCAAATTCAAAAATCGAAGCAAAGATGAGATAAGAGGCCTTAGTACGAGTTTGGTTTACGTTTAAAGTAATCGTAACGAGTACGCATTCGGCGCTGTGATTGGTTGCTTCATTGGCGCCGGCCAATTAGAGTGCCGAACGCGTACTCGTTTCGAAAACTTTAAACATAAAACAAACTCGTACTAAGGCCTCAGTATAGGGGATGTCGCCGCTGAAACGTTAAGCGAGTGAGCGTGTGTTGAAAACGCTCCGCGTTCCCGCCAATTCTCTCAGTTTCTTGAATGGACACATCCAGCCCTAATCTGTTATATTAATACTTTGTGTGCTCAGTCTGAGAGCATTGTGGTTCGTGGTGAACGAGACGATCCTAAAAAAATAGCCAGCCAGCACATCGACCTACTTATTTCTGTCTATGTTCTTTATTAGATTTAGAACATTATCGTTTTCACGTAAAGTCTAAAATGCAATAAAAAATGGACAGATTTGAGTAGGTTGACCTGGCCACGGTATTAAACAGAAAAAGTTTAGTAAATTATACTTTTCTTCCAGGATGAAGTCAACGAGCTCGTCGCGATTATCGTATACGACATCATCAACGATCACTACTTGTAATCGACCTGAAAACGAACAAAGAATTTCAATAAATAAATGAACTGTTTTGAAAAGTATTGCATGTTGTTTTCTTGTAAATTCGTCTTTTATTTCTTATGACCCGTCCTTACCTATATATATATACATACATATAGCACTGCTAACTTTTGCCGGCGACTTTTCGTCTCCGACTTTCGTTCTCCCATTTCCGTAGGATTTGCAGGATTTTTTTTCTGTCATAATAACCGTCTTGTGACAATAACCAGGCAAAATGGTGGCCAAACGTTAACCTATATTAAAATCGGTCCAGCCGTTCACGCGTCATGACATAGGGATTCATTTTTATATAATAGATATACATAGATTTTATTAACACCTTTTAACGTTGAGAGGCATACAATATACCTACAATGTAATATCTACTTAACACTCATATTGGACTTGAACTTGCGAAGGCTACAATTCATATATTATTATGAAAACTAGCCAAGATAGGACCTTAGGCTACAATACATGATCTTATGTTATAAGTAGATATGGTATGTTATACTGTTACTTATAAATAAATTTCAGGACTGACTTGAACATTGAACTTGGCACCCATTTAGATCTCATTTCTTTTGTCGTTGAAGTCACCAACCAAGGCATTTATTATAATATTGAACTTGGTCCCCTTTTTAGAATGGGAGAGAATGCATTTATGTCAGCTTGGAGTTGTTATGCTCACTCAAAGATCTCATTGGCGGTGGCACGTGCCTTGGATCGCTCGATTCCCTGCAATATGGTTGAATTGGGCGGTGCTGGTGTACGTGTTATGTTCGTGAACGGGCGCCGTCAACTGGGACTGGTCAGCTCCAGACTGCATTATTTATTGTCTTTAAGGTTATTTTCTTTTTCGATTTCTTTGACTGGATTTTGGTGTTACATTGTTCTCGCAAAATCGAACCAATAAAACTGTGTAACTGGAGAATTGTATTGTGAACCTGATTGGAAAAGACTAACCTATAGAGTTTCTTGCTCGTTCTTCTCCATAGGAATCTACACCTTGGAATGAGCAAATAGCTTCACTTTAAAATTTATATTGCTGACGTTCAAAAGTGCCTTCCTGGTCTAATTGAAATAAATGATTTTTGACTTTTGACTTTTGTAGATAAGTACACATCCTCGTAACACCGTGGGTCCTTTTAAAAGGACAAATTAAAAACTAAAAGTAGACTTTATAAATATAAAACAGTTTAATGAGGTACTGTATTTTCCTACGTTTACGAGGTATAATTTTCTGATCAGTGTTCTTATTTTAAAGCTGCCAACCTATCCTCGCTTAACACAACATGTCATGTTGCAACTTGCTTTACTTGTCGAATGTGGTTCTCTTTCTTGAACTTGCCTTGACACGCTACCGCGTGTCTAGATTGGTTTGTTATTGACATCATCATTGTCACCATCAATGGTTACGATAAAACCTCAATTTCTTTATGCGATTTGGTCTTTGTTAAAGAGGTCGGGTTTAATCAAATATTTGTGCAAGTACGTCACACAATTTTATTTTCCAAGTTATAATATGTACTTTCTAAGATCATTTAGACACCACTGATAAACGGTGAAGGTCAACATCGTCAGATAACCTAGGCTTATAATTTCTGATGAAATTATAAGTTTAAATTCGCCAACTCCGCATTGAGCAATCGTGGTGTTAAATGCTCAAACCTTTTCCGTGCGAGAAGAGGCCTATGGTGAGCAGTGGCCACTCATATGCTGTTAATGTGATGTGACGTCAGATAAATTATATCCAATCAGTTCGAGCGCAATTTTCTGATTACAGAGGATTAACTACTTAATTGACTATCTTATTGTTATCGCGCATAATCCAACCTCATACAAATTTGGTCAGATTTCATCGCAGTTGTATTTGGACATTTTAAAAGGTAAGTTAGTAATTAGTTTAGTATTAACGGTTGTTTACTGATTACAAACGTTTTTTGTAAAAGTTCGCTGGTTTCTTAAGCAGTTTGGATTGTGTTTAAGACCTTAAAGGTATCTTTGTGTTTTTTATTAGTGGATCCCAAAATTTACACTTCAGATTTTGGTTTGGCGTGTCTCTTCTGTAGATATCCTGCATTTGTAGTTGCAGTGATTACGATAGTTATGACGCGATCGTTCCAATAAAAAAGTTTTAAGTGTTGACTGGATTTTTTTTTATGGCATAAGCCGGTAAACGAGCAGAGGGATCACATGATGGTAAGCAATCGGCGTCGCCCATGGACACCTGGAACACCAGAGGCGTTACAAGTGCGTTGCCGGCCTTTTGGGGATTAGGAGTTTGAGGATCGTTGGGGATTCAAGGATTGGGAAGATTGGGGAAGGGGAGGGTGATTGGGCCTCCGGTAACCTCACTCACATGACGAAACACAACAAAAGTGTTGTTTCACGTCGGTTTTCTGTGAGGCCGTGGTATCACTACGGTCGAGCCGGCCCATTTGTGCCGAAACATGGCTCAACCACACTTGAATTAATATTTTATTTCATTCAGATACCTACATCAAGATGAGAGCTGTGACACTTATTGCTTTATTATTCGTGGGCGTCAATGCCCTTCCTGAAGTCGACCCACAGATAGGTAAGTCAGGTACCTAATGTAGGTTTTATGACAATTTTTTTTTGTTGTACACTTCACGTATCATTAATGAACAGTTTGTCTTCTAAGAAAATATTACCTTAGTTGTTTCATCATACTCGGGATGATGACAGGGTATGAAAATTAAAAGTCTAATTAGTACGTCAGTTAGGTAATACAAAAAATATTAGACATATACGTTTTTATTTTTGTTGTGTCAGAAAACAATACTTAAATAAAACGAATTAAAGTTTGGGAGTGATGGCTAACTACATCACTTTTAAGTACTTAAAATACGTACATAAAAGTGACGTCACGCGATATTTCAAATCAATATTTATTTTATTTATTTATTTTTTTTCAACCATGATCGTCCCACTGCAGGACAAAGGCCTCCCTACCCTCCTTCCACTCCTCTCTATGTAACTCATTTTGCTATTATATCAATATATATATCCGAAAATATCTGTGTCCGTAGAAACATGAAAATACGTGTCTAATGATTTTAAACAATATATCTTAAGGACATTAAAATGAAAAATGAGTCATCTACCCTATTAACAGCTCGTGAGTCTCGTGACACAGTGACAGCCACTACAAGACTATGGGCTTCCTCGACTCAGCATAAGAGGGTTTGCCATAATTTCGACGCTTCACAGGCGCGCTAGAGATCACAGTTTTATATGTACTTATTTCTATCAGCGAGCACTGCTGCCCAGAACAAGTAATAGCTATGTAGTCTCTTAGTCGGCTCTTACGTCATCCATGCGTAGAGTAGCGGTGATGACTAAATGTGTTTTAGTCAATCGTGTCTACACTACATATTTTTTATTTAATATTTGATTTCATATGGTTAGGAATCACAAAGACTAAACTTTTACTCAAAATAGTTTGTGTTTGCAGCGAGTGTACGACAGGCGCGTAATTCACAGGTTTTAGACCTGATTATGGAAGAAATTGAGAATATCTCCCAGTCCATAATAGACATGGGACTAGATCCCTTGTTAATAGAACACGAGTCTTTCGAATATCAGCTGCCTGTACCTGCGTAAGTAATATATTCCTGTAATGGTACTACGCCCGTGCATTTCTCATGTTCATATGCCGCGCCAATTTATGAAATGAGTAAGGTAGCACACAAAAAAAAAATTGTGCGCTGAAAAACTGGTGATATGTATATGTGATAGTGACCACTTTATTTGTTTTAGACTTTTCAACGCGGCCGCCGAGGTGGAAGACGTTAGAAGCTTCGGTCTCAGTAACATTGTGGTTGAGAACTTGAACCTCGTCCTCCTTATCATCTATAACCGACTCGATTTCCATATAGTATTGCCACACATTCATTTCTTTGCTCGTAAGTTCTGATGTTCATGTATTAACTGAGATGTATGTACTGAATTTGATGTTAACTTTCAACATTTACTTTTCAAAAGATTGATTGATTGATGAAAATGATTTTGCAATCGAATCTTTTGATTTTATAAATAAAAACCAACGATGCATTTTCAGGTAAAGCGAAAGGTCAAGTTGCGTCGTTTGGTGAAACATTGACTGTAGAAGGAGACGGCAGGTAAGATCATAGCTTACCACTAAGCGACATGGTGGCTAAACGTTATCCTATCAAGTATAAAAAACATCAATATTTATGAGATGAGAAAATACACAATATGCGAACCAGAGGCGTAGAAAGCGCCCTAGAGAAGTACCTACACTGGTAGGCGCCTCTAATTTGTATTGGCGCCGCCGCCATTCTAAGGGCCATTGAGCATGTGCGTTTCGCGACGCTCTTCTATAGCCTGGCACCCTAGGCACTTGCCTTGATGGCCTTAAGTTAATACGGTTCTACCACAAACTTGCCGCCATGCGCCATCACACGTAAACATCGTTCATGCTGAGAATTTAACAAAATATATTATTATTATAACGTGCAAGTAAATCCTTGTCGATACTAATCGTGTTAAGGAGACATTTAATTGATTGTATTTTATGTACGTATCATTAAAGTATGCGATTAAATGTTGAAGGATTGGAATAGATTACAAGATAAGCACACAAATACCTATAAGTACTACGTAATATGGTTGATTATGTTTTGATAGTGAGTCGGCCTTGTATGTCAAAGAAATTGACATTATATCTACACCGTGAAATCTATTTCGTTTGTAGTAAAATGGTTCTGTCTCGGTAATACGGTTTTACGGTTTACTTTTTCAGAGTTAGTTTGGAAGCGCAAATCAATTCATTGTATATTGTCGAAATATCACGCCATGTAATTCAATATTAAGTGTGTTTAAGTGTGGGAGAGCCATGCTTTGGCACGAATGGGCCGGCTCAACCGGAGTGATACCCCGGCCTCACAGAAGACCGACGTGAAACAACGCTTGCGTTGTGTTTCGTTGTGTGAGTGAGGTTATGGGAGGCCCAATTACCCCATCCCCTTTGTCGTCCTTTAAAAAAATACTATTGCATAATGTAAACAGTATTTTACGTTAAATATAATACATAAAGTATCTTTTTTAAATCTGGTTTTGACGTGAAGTATCATGTAAAGATATTCTCACAATTTTTCATATTTATGATATTTATTTGATGGTTGTGTTTTTGTTCCAGTGTCGATATCCGAAACATAAACATAGTTGGTAGAGCAAATATCAGAGCGACTGGAGTTATTATCGGTGATCTCATATCTGCCATTCAAGTTGATTTTACAGTTGGACAAATTAGCGTAAGTATTATAGAGAAAAACGATCATACCCTGCACTTTTTTAAGTAGACAGTCAGATTGCCTCGTTGGTCGAGTGGTCGCAAGTGCGACTGCCGGGCAAGGGGTCTCGGGTTCGACTCCCGGGTTGGGCAAAGTATTACTGGGTTTTTAAAAGATTCTTAGTAGCAGCACGGAGTCTGGAATTGTGCCCGGTATATGGCAATAGGCTCACCTCCTAAAAATAAATACCAAACAGAATAAAAAAAAAGAAAATATATGTCATAGTTACTGGTTGTTCTTTCATGTTTCGTGTTCGGGATTATATAGCTTTTCACTTATATAAGTAACGTAAACTGTTTATTTAAATTTATTATGCGAGTCATCACAGAATATATACGTGTACATTTTTCGACCTAAATTATATGTAAGTGTAATCTGTTCCTGACAAATGCACGGGTATCCAACGTCAGGTACTCTCAATGAGAAACTTGTCATGTGTCGTAAATCTTTTGAGAATAGGGATGATGGCAGGGTATGAAAATTAAAAATCTAATTAGTCCATTAGTTAGGTAATAAAAAAATATTAGACACGTATTTTTTATTCTGATGTATAATAAGATGATACTTAGATATAACAAATTAAAGTTTAGGAGTGGGGCTAAAACGTCATTTCTACGTATAAAATGCACATAGAAGTGACGTCACGCAACATTTCAAATCAATATATCGTCGAAAGTATTCGTTTCTGTAAGAAAATAAAAAATATGTGTTTAATGTTTTGAAACAATCTACTAGACGGACATTAAAATAAAAATTAGGCATCTACCCTATTCGAAGTGATATTTTCTCTTCATATATTTTTTAATTATTTTTTTATTTGTATTACTAAACTTTTGTTTGACTTTCAATTATGCTCAACATTTTAGTTTGATAAAATAAATGTGACTGACTTTTTATTCTTACAGTCAAATATTCGGCTAGCTATCAACGGTCAGAATTACTCTGAAGAAGTTAACAATTTATTCAACGTGAAAATTCCTGCCGTTCTGGATGAATTCAGTGTAAGTAATTCAAAGTTTTGCTAAGAAAACATCAACAGTTCATCACAGTCCTCTGCTTGACTTGATTCTCCTGCTCTTAAAAGGTTTCGACAGTATCTCCGTGCTTGGCACGGGTTAAAGGTTCAAGCAGATTTATTATAAAGTGCTGTTGCTCAATATCTGCTAAATGTCATTATAAAGACAATCATTTGATTATTATGTTTTCGTCTTACTCACGTAATTATTTGACGAGGAACTCGACTAGTTTGAAGCCATGCTAGAGGCTCATATTCATGAGCAGCAATCCGCGACCCGCGATGCGGTGACTGTCGCTTATTTAGTATGTCTCACGAAAGTTATAATACAAAGACAATAATTTGTTTCAGACCATGCCATGACCATTCTTGTTAGTAACAATGAACTTCAAAAATAATGTTATATAAAACCATTCAAACAATAATTAAACCCGTATATGTCATATTGAATCGATATTTTAAGTGTGGGAGAGTCATGCTTCAGCACGAATGGGCCGGCTCGACCAGAGATCACTCTGGTCCAGCCGGCCTGATCGACTCATGGAAAACCGACGTTAACCAAATTGCCAAATAAATATATATTGATAATTGCGCAACCCTGTCGGTCAGATACCAATTTCAGTAGGTTGTTGCTGCTACATATAGAAAATCCTTACTTAATATTATAAATCGGAAAGTGAGTTTGTTTGTTTGTTTGTTCCGCTTTAACGCCATAACTACTAAACCGATTGTTTTGATTTTTTGCAGATGTATGTAGTTAGAAGTCCGGATTAAATAATAGGGTACTTTTTATCCCGGAAAAGTGTGATATTCCCTAGGGAAAACAAAAGTATTAGTATAGATGGCGCTGTGTGTATTTGTATATGTCACATTGGCTTTTTATCCTTTTGCGACGCGAGCGAAGCCGCGGATAAAAGCTAGTGTTAAATAAAGTATATTTTTCTTACAGGATGAAATCAACGAGCTGATCGAAATTATCCTTTTGGACATACTCAACGAAAACCTTTAATCGACCTGAATACGAACAAAGAATATCAATTAATAAATGGACTCTTTTGAAAAGTATTGCTTGTTGTTTTCTTGTAAAAACAGAAACATAATATAATTATAGAAACACCTTTTACTGCTAAAATTTCATACATACATACATAACTTCACGCCTGTCTCCCATTGGGCTAGGCAGAGAGACTATGGAACGCCAGTTACTACGATTCCCACAGACCTGTTAAAATTAATAACTGAAATGTCTTGATCCAATATGTTTGGATTACGTTCAATTTTTGACATTAGTTATTGAGTTTCTGTCGAAAACTTTCACCAAAAACATAAACATTATTAATTAATTAATTAAAACATATTACAGACAATCTGTTAGTCGAAGGGATTCAGATTTATTTATTTACAACCATGTTCATCCCACTGCAGGACAAAGGCCTCCCTATCTTCCTTCCACTCTTCCGGAGAACCTAACGGGTAACCGGGGCTTCGGGTCGACGTGCAGGAGAAGGAACGGGGTGGTTTTTAGTCAGTAAGAGTCTGACACTAGGGCGGGAGCAGTCATTCGATGATTTTCCCCCTTAAAAAAAAAAACTCTTCTCTATGTAAAGCTTTTTGCGGCCAATCCATGACATAGATGTCCAGTTCGTCCCACCATCTTCTTTTGAGCCTACCGCGACGTCTATTAACGCTGAGCGCGCTGCACTCAGTAGTAAGTTTTGCCTACCGCTCGTCTGACATGCGGCAGACATGACCAGCCCAGTTTCACTTTAAGCCTGCGGCTTTATGACCAACGTCAACGATTTTAGGCGTTGGAAACTCATGGACGTGTGCATTCCGCCCATCCTCACCTATGGCGCTCAAACTTGGTCTTTAACACCACATCAGAAATGTATACTTTATATCAGTTAAAATATAAAAACAAATTGGAATGAAGTTATAGATATATGATACCACATATGTCGTGAGCCCCATGAAATGTATTATCCCATCCTATACCCATGTACATGTCGCAGAGAACCTAACATGTTACCGGGGTCCGGCTCGACGTGCAGAAGAAGGAACGGGGTGATTTTTAGTCAGTAAGAGTCTGACACTCCCTCCCGCCTTACCCAGGCAGGAGCAGCCATTCGATGAACTTCCCTCCTTAAAAAAATACATATAAATATTTAAGGTTACTCGTGTTATATTAGCACGCCGCCTTCGTCCGAGTGGTGTATTACTCTTCAATCTCCTAATTATCTGTTTTAGGAATAGATACATAAGTAAACAATAAAAAAACTTAAAGAATTTAAATAACAAAACCGGTAGCAGCGCGACAGTCGCTGCGTTGTGGGTCACGTAATGCTGCTCATGAATATGAGCCTCTAGCATGGCTTGAAACTAGTCGAGCTCCTCGTCGTTCCAGTAACGTAAGTAAGTCGAAAACATAACAATTAATAACAAAATCGATTGTATAGAGCAAATCGTATTTAATAACTTGGTTTGACCTATTTGTAGAGGTAACAACAACCTCTTAATAAATCCATTATCTTGTGTTTGCGATTCCATTGTCCATCTGTTTGAGATAACTTTACTATTGATAAGATTAATCCAAGGATTATTATTAGATTAAATAAATGGTGTACAAAATCTCTGCATTGTAATATTGAGTTCAAATTTTTTGTTTGGAAATGGTAAACTTAGACATTTTTCGAAGGTGATTTTGATTATTAATTCAGACCCGGTAATTATAACTTTAATATTTTTTTACGTAAATTCTACTTTTGAAATCTGTGCTGCCTCGTACCAGTAGCGCAGATTGTTTTTAACCGATTTCATAATATTTATCCTTGTTGATTTTTATATTCTTTCGTTTTTATTTCAAAATATCGGATTTATCAATCGTATGCCATGTTATGAATCTAATTGATTGTAAAATTAAAGGTACATTGTATGGAGATTCTGATGATCGGTCGGTTGTTGTATTAAAGGTTTGATTATTACACACTTACAGACCAGTTTATGTAATCTTCGGGGTATAGTGTACTACCGGGCTAGCGGACGAGGCTAGTCATATGTCGTGGCTCAGGTATTGGACAGGATCTGTACGGAGTGTTTTTTTTTGTTCGGGAGGAATATCATACTGGCTTCTACATCACCTAGGGCGAGAGAAGTCATTTGATAATTGTCTACCCATAAAAAGAGGTATTTGTAGGAGTGTGAACGTAGTTCTTTATCCTACTATAATAAACAGTTTTTTTAATTGTGGGAGAGCCATGCTTCGGTACCGGCACGAATGGGCCGGCTCGACCGGAGTGATACCACGGCCTCATAGAAAACCGACGTGAAGCAACCCTTGCGTTGTGTTTCGTCGTGTGAGTGAGCTTACCGGAGGCCTCTAATTACCCTCCTCTTCCCCAATCTCCCCAATTCCTGAATTCCCAACGATCCTCAAACTCCTAATCCCCAAAAGGCCGGTAACGTACTTGTAACGCCTCTGGTGTTCCAGGTGTCCATGGACGACGCCGATGGTGATCCGTGTGCTCGTTTACCTGCTTATGGCATAAAAAAAAGAAGAAAACCGGGGAACTTGAAGCCATGTTCAGAAGTCGTAGTTACAACAACTAGACGAAAATACTTATCTAACTACAACAATAGGTACACTTCTTTGTTCATTGAATTAGCACTTACGTATGGATTGGAGTAAACATTGTAAGAGTGATTTATCGTCATTTTTAATTATTATCTTTATCGTTTAAGCAAATAGTTGATTAAGTATTTATCTGTGAACACGGTTTTGTCATCAGCAGTGTTGTGCACAGTTCGTGTAAGAAAGGTATGTCCATTGTACAATCTGATATAATTGATATTAATTAATTCATTAATTGAAGTTAATTTGCTACCTAACAGGATAATGTAGCGCATTAGTTGTAAAGTTCATTTCTGTGTAAATGTAATACATTATGCAATAGATACTAGTTAGTATTTTTACCTGTGAAATAGGTCAAAATTCTTCTATAGCAGCATTAAATTGAGAAGAATGGTAGCTTAGGTACCTTTTATTATGACGGGGAAACCTTTAAAAGGCGCCTAGCTTTTTGGGGATAAAGGACTTGGGAGTGTGGGATTTTTATCTCATTAAAACCACCCTGGTGGCCACCCTCAACACCTGTATGGAGGCACCGGGTCCTCTAAAGCAGACCTGCTACGGGGCCTCTACTAGCTTAGGTACCTACGTGTTATTCTAGATATAATCTATCTACACCTGCACAATGTGTTGTGGGTTAGATTATAGAATAAAATCTTTGTCTTTTTTATGGTATAAGCCGGTAAACGAGCACACGGAATACCAGATTGTAAACAATCGGTTCCGCGCATCACCTGCAACACCAGAGGCGTTACAAATCCGTTACCGGCCTTTTGGGAATTTGAGGATTGTGTGGATTGGGAAACTTCGGAGGGAAGGTAATTGGACATCCAGTAACCTCACACACAAACGACAAAACACAATGCAAGAGTTGTTTAACGTCGGTTTTTTGTGAGGCCGTAGTATCACTCTGGTCGAGCCGCCTCATTCGAGCCGAAGCATGACCCTCCCACACTTATAAAAAAAAGTAAAAAAATGATTGATCCGGGTCCGAGTGCGACGCTTCAATAAACCTGGTGATCTGTAAAAGTCGTTTACTATAATAATTAGGTAACAACATAAAGTATTGTGTGTAGTGATAGTGGTAGGCGAAGCATGTAAGATCTTTATAAAAAAAAAAAATATTTGATCATGGAAATTATGTACTTGTAATATGACAAGGGCACGGACACGAGTCCGTGGAGAAATTCAATTTATTATTAAAAAAAAGTCGTTTAAAATTAAGGTGAACATCTAATGTTTTTAGGTCCGAAGATGCAGTCCTGTCTAATAATATTGTCAGTCTTCAGTCTAGGGTTGGTAACAGCCACCCCAGTAGATTTTACAAAATTCAACCAAATTCAGGTCAATCAAGGTGAGATTTTAAAACTTATTGTACACGGTGCAGTGGCACATCAACCTACACCTTTATGTCTTTTTTTATTAATATAAATTTTTAACATTAATGTTCCGGATTTACATTATAACTTTTGTGAGACATACTTTATAAATTATTATGTTTTCGGTTTACTCTCGTAGTAATTTGACGAGGAACTCGACTAGTCTCAAGCCATGCATGAAACTAACTAGAGGCTTAGGCACGCTGCGTCCACAGACTCCAGTAGCTAGTACCAGCGGAACAATCGCCGCGTCGCAGGTCGCCAAATGTTGCTCATGAATATGAGCCTCTAGCATGGCTTGATATTAGTCGAGTTCCTCGTCAAATAATCACGTGAGTAAGCCGAAAACATAATAATTTATTGGTCCCGATTTATTTTCGAAAATGTAATGAAATCAGGACTAACATAACTGGGAGATCCTACAGCATAAAAGGTTATCTTGCTATGCAATTACAGATGTGGCTCTCCGGAACTCATTGCTAGAGAATGCTATCCTGCAAGCATTGGAAGGTTTAAGAAAGGACATGGTGACGGGCACTGATGATATACCAGTCCTTGATCCTTTGGAAGTTGAGCATTTACACTTGAACGAAGAATTACTCACTTTACCTGGGTAAGTTTAATATAAAATCTAATATGATTTGTTTTAAAGTTATAAAATATAGTTACATATATATACAATAACCAGATTTATATTATTATGCCTAAGTATCTATCAAAAAGGGACATAAAAATGGACGTAGTACATCGGGTACTATAACTGACAAAAATAATAAACAAAAGTCCCAGTACTGTCTTAAGAAGTATGTCCATATAATATGGCAGCTCACGAACCGTTTGCGAGCTGCGTGCGTGCAATCACAGCAATGGTTTGGTGCGCCTCCTTAGTGCAACTCATGCAAGGCTCGTATAAATAATAATATTAATTACTTGTTCAGTTAGGAAGTGGCTCCCAAGTTGCATATTTGAGGAACATTCGCCAGATGTGTACGCACCCTTACATGCTCCGCTTTACCTGAGTATCGAAAACCATTTAAGTCAGTTTCATACACACACATGAAATCAAAGCTTTTGTCCCACAAAGGAAGGCAGAAAACTATAAACCGCCACTTACTATTCTTAAATACTTCTTTAGCCTCAATTACATTCTTGCATCTGAGGCCTTAGTACGAGTTTTTTTACGTATAAAGTAATCGAAAGGAAATTGCGTTCGGCACTCTGATTGGCCGGCTCTAATGATCCAACCAATCAGAGAGCCGAACGCGTACTGGTTTCGAATACTTTAAATGTAAAAGAAACTCGTACTAAGGCCTCTGGTACACAAGCATATGACATCATTATTAGGGTTGCCACCTTTTTTTGTATTTAAAGTACAGTGACGATTATAGATAAGAAAAAAAAGTACACAGTACAAAAATAAAGTATAATTTTTTTTTATTTTTTTTATATTATATTTATATAAAAATTTATATTTTTAAATATAATACTAAATAAGAATATTCCAATTTTCCTCCTTCCCAATTTCCCAATTTCCAATCCTATCCCAATTTTCTATTTGTTACTACACACTGTGTCATTATATTATTATTACTTTTCCTGCTCCAGGTCCACAGGAAGAAATTCCAATAGGAATATGTGGTACCTTTGTACTTTAATTTTATGTATGTGTTGTCCTTTATATTGTATGTGTGTACATAAATAAATAAATAAATAAATAAATATATATTACCTCTATATTGCTTTTTGCAGTTTGTATTAAATTAGTATCTTTACTAAACAATTGCATTGAAATACTAAACAATAGCATCTTTACTAGATATCGTCTAAGTGGCGCTCTGGTGAGTGGCGTAATCGATTCATCATAAATCGATAAATATCGATATCGAATCGATAAGTTTACCGAAAAATACTTACGACTTTAATAGAAATGAAGTTCGCAGAAATAAAGTATTTTCGTGTACTTCGTTATTCTTATAAAGTATAGAGTACAATTACCTTAAATAACGTACAATACTTTATTATAAAGTACGGGTGGAAACCCTAATCATTATATATCTTGTTTCAGTTCCCACGTGACCCTAAAAGACCTGAAGGTTGAAAAACTGAGTACGTTCGTGGTAGACACACTGTCGGTCACTGTTGAGACACTGCTGCCTTTACGGTACCGGATTACCTTCGACATACGAATCCCTGAATTGCCTGCTGAAGCCGGTTAGTATTTTCTTTTAAACAAGCAAGTCACTTTAGACACTTAGTAGTGATGTAAGCAATTGATGTCACCCATAGAGACTCTTAACACTAGAACAGAAGAGTCATATTGCATTGTAGGCACAAAATTGTGAATGAATAGCAATAATTGCAACATACTCCGGAAAGACTGCCTCGGGTCTCGGGTTCGATTCCCGGGACGGGCAAAGTATTTTTCAAAAAATCTCAGTAGTAGCACGGAGTCTGAAATTGTGCCTGGTATGTGGCAATACACTCACCCCCTATTACATGGGACTCATAAATAGTGAAAAGTGGGTGTTACATTGTACAGTGGCATTATGCGCCGTATTGGACACCTGCCTACACCTTCGGGGATAAAATGCGTGATGTTATGTTACTCCGGTAAGAAGACTCAATGCTTATTGCGTTTTCTCCTCCAATTGGACCGTTGGATTATTATTTTTGGAGCTATGTAACAAACTATTAAAGTTATATTGTGTATTTATTTTTTACAGAGAACTACGATCTTATGATCATAGCACAGGGTCTTAATATTTTTGGAAACGGCGACGCTAAGTGAGTATTCATTTAATGCAATTATATAGGCTATGGAAAACAATATGGTCGCGACTATTGCTGTAGTCACAAATAGCCTAACCAATTGGATACCTGCCTTCATTAAAGATAAATTTTTTCGACTGTTCAATAGAATAAAATAAGCACATTTTTAATATTTACTGTTGATGGCTGGCTGTTATTGTTCATGATGATTATATTTTTTTATTCTAGAGTCACTCTGATTGAGCCGAAAGTGCACGGTCACATCGTATTGAGTCCGAGGATCACGATCGGGTCTGGCTTGTTCTATAGTATCACTACCAGTAATGTCAACTTCTCATTGAAAGGGTTCGAAGTTAGTATCTTTTATATATTTAGTTTGTTTGTTAAATAATTTACATATTATGAGTATAATACTACAATTATAAATATGTATATCTCCATAATTAAACTAATATACGGTATAGATATAAATAACTAAAAACTAAAATATTTACACCTTAAAATTACGTCGAAAAAAAAGTAGGTAATAAAAATGTCAGCTTAGCTCATCGCTGCCATGAGGTAGGGTGCCTAAAGACTGTCAGCATTGGCACGTCACGCCAAAGTAGTAGCCAGCCTTACAATCACCTAAAGTGTCAACCATGCTTCTTATACAATATCTAAATAATTAAAAATACTTTTTATTTGTTGTGTAACGCATAGAGGGTTACGCTTTTTTCCTTAATATGATTACAGATTGATTTGAAAAAAAAATTGATTTCTCTAGTTCGTAGTATAAGTCGTTCGTAAGTGGTTAATTCCATATATCATAACAGTGGGTTTTACATTGTACAGTGGCATTAAGTGCCGTAATGTGCAGTGTGCACCTCTGCCTATCCCTTCGACGATAAATAGGTGTGAAGTTATGTTATTTTTGTTGTATTCACAAGCACTGGAGAGTTTAAAGTCATAGCATGTTGGTCTACCGACTGATCCCTTTTTGGTCTCGTTGAAATGTTGTCCTATTGTAATTAATACGTTTCATTTCTAACTATAGTCAGAATTTTAATTAGATTCCAGATTTGACAATAGCTACTGTCATTTTGTGAAATAATGATACCACATATAATAGTGTAGTGATGAACACAAAAATCGATAAACAATCAGTGTGTGTGTGTTATAATAAATGTTACAGAAAGTGACAGGATAGCGATAGCAATGACGGCGACAATTTATAAAATAACTTATTACTATAATACATCTATCTGTTTTATTTGTCATGTTTCTTCATGGTTACATTTTTTATTTATTTCACACACAATTATAAAAGAAAAGTCTCAGATCGTTAATTAATCGTCAAAACTAAATTATCGGTTCAGAAATATTTAATTTCCTGATATACTTAGTTTACAAGAGTAAAATTATAAGCAAGAAGAATCGATCCAGTAATATTGCATTTCCATATCGAATAATTTCGCAACGTCACTATTTAGTACTTGTCATAACGTTGCAACACTGAAATTGTCAAATCTGGAATCGAATTAAAATTCCGAGTATAGTTTGAAATTGTCAAATCTGGAATCGAATTAAAATTCCGAGTACGTATTATTTCAATTTATCTTCTTGAAACTAATTGAAATTACTATTACAGTCGAAGATCAATGGGTTGATGAATGATCCTGCTATGTCGGAATTCATCAATACATTCTTGGGTCACTTCGTACCAGATGCAGTGGTCGTGTACAAGGTAAGATTTTTACATTATTTAACTCGTCGAGTACCGGTTTTGCAGACACAATTATAGAACAATAGGTTGCGGTCACCGGTGACCGCTTGGTGTTTGACAGTTTAAACAGAACAAAGTCAAAGTCAAAGTCAAAGCATTTATTTCAATTAAACCATAATTTGGTACTTTTGAAACGTCAATAAATACAAAATAAATGATAGTCTGTCACTCAGTTCGTCAGTGAAGCTAGGTGAAGCTAGGTGCTCATTCCAAAATGTAGATTCGAATGGAGAAGAACGAGCAAGAAACTCCATTCGTTACTCTTTTTAAAAAAGTATGTTCTACAATGTCTCTGATACATATTCTAATACTGTACGCATATGTGAGAACAGTGCAAAGACACAAACGCTCCCTAAAGCAGCGCCAAGAAATTTATTTTTGTACGATTTTTATCGGTTTTGTTTTCGCGTTTGGGTGTTATATTACTTACATTGTACAGTGGCATTAAGTGCCGTAATGTGCACCTCTGCCTATCTCTTCGGGGATAAAAGGCGTGATGTTATGTTATTTTTTGACTTTCAAAATTAAGTTGCTTAGATACCGAAAATGAAAATCTAAACGATAATAATATCATCATCATTATCATCAACAGCCTATAAATGCCTACTGCTGAGCAAAGCCTCTTCTCACACGGAGAAGGTTTGAGCATTAATCACCACGCTTGCTCAATGCGGGTTGGCGATTACAAACTTATAATTAGAAATTATAAGCACAGGTTTCCTCACGACGTTTTCCTTCACCGTTTGTCAGTGGTGTCTAAATAATCTTAGAAACGATAATAATATAAACTTTCACATTTATAATATTAGGGACACGCACACGGGCGCACCATCATGGGGGCGGCAAATCGAGCGACTCATTACTTACTATTCAAAATCATTGTCCAGAGTAAGCAGAAAGGATAAGAAATATCATCGCCGGGAAAAAATCCCACTCGACGCAAGCAATATTAGCGTTGTGTATTACGTTTGAGGCCCTATACCGGTCAGTAGCGCCTTAAATTCGAAGTCCATCGAGCGTTCTTGAAAGCTATTGAACGTCCACGATCACATTCGAGAGTCACTCGAAAACTATCGAGCGCCCTCGATCACTTTCAAGCGTCCTCGATAGTTTTAGAGCGTCCTCGAAAACTATCGAGCGTCCTCGAAAACAATCGAGCGTCTTCGAAAGCTATTGAGCGTCCTCGAAAATTATCAAACGTCCTCGAAAACTATCGAGCATCCTCGATCGCTTTCGAGCGTCCTCGAAAACTATCAGGCGTCCTCGATCACTTTCGAGCGACCTCGATCACTTTTAAGCGTCGTCGAGAACTATCGAGCGTCCTCGAAAACTATCGAGCGTCCTCGATCACTTTCGAGCGTCCTAGATTACTTTCGAGAGTTACTCAAAATCTAGCGAGCGTCCTCGATTACTTTCTGGACTTAATCGAAATATATCGAGATATCTCTAAAGCTTTTGGTGTAGTATCGCGTCGCCTTCTCCGCCACCGTAAGCGCGAGTCTGCTGACGACAAGCAAGGATAACCTGATACGTAGCAGACCCGAGCGTACGACGCGTCGTGTAAAATGCAGGCGTCAAACAGTCATTACTTCATCAGACACCACAGACGGACCCATCAGGATTGTTGATATGGGTACTGGGGCCCTGGCTTTGAGCAAGTGTTGGAGGGAATGGGGTGGTTAGTAAGAGTTGTTGAGTTGTTGTTGAGTCACTTCGTCAAGAGTAATTTCAGGACTTTTTACCCACCCAACAAAAAGGGGGGCGGCATAATCGGTATTTGCACGCGGGCGCTCGAATGCTAGCGGCGGGCGTGGTAATGAGTTAGTTAGAAAATACTAGCTTAAGCCAGTGGCTTCGCCCGCAGCCCCGTAAATAGCCTGTGTGTGTATAGCAAATGTCGTAGCGGACTTGAGGTTTAAGGCGCTCGCTTCTCATGCATGAGAGTGCGGGTTCGAAACTTACCAACGTCAAGTACCAATGCGACTTTTTCCGAGTTATATATACTTTCTAAAATTATTTAGACACCACTGATAAACGGTGAATGAAAACCTTGCGAGGGAACCTGGGCTTATAATTTTTTTAATTTTTTAATTAATACTTAGTACAGAAATAAATGTACAGGTGGACTTAATGCCTTGGGCATTGTCTCACAGTCGACCTTAAGGTGGTGTTGGACATATACTACCGCGGAGTTTTTTGTAGACATTATGATGTTCTTCAATATTGTTGTACATTATTTTGTTCTATCGCTAATAGTTTCGGCAGCGCATTCGACGAAAGACATTTTAAGACCCATTTTTCTACACCTTCGGTTACATTGTTCAAATTTTACCAAGGATCACTAATTTTTTTCAAAATGAAATGTAGCCTATGTCAAATTGGAAGAATGTAGCATTCTATAGGTGAAATAATTTTTTAAATCGGCCCAGTACTTTTAGAGCCTATTTATTACAAACATACAATCATACAAAAATAGGTAAAAATCTTTCCTCTTTATAATATTAATATAGATAATATAGAAGTATAGAAGTATAGATATAGATAAGATCACCAACCCGCATTGAGCAAGCGTGGTGATTAATGCTCAAATCTACTACGTGTGAGAAGAGGTTTTGCTCAGCAGTGGGCATTTATAGGTTGTTGATGTGTGTGATAGCCTTTGTGTTATTCTAGACCATAGGTAATCTATCCCTTTATTACATACATTTTGACGTGAAGGCGTAATAAACACTCAAACTTTCGCATTTATAATAGATAATAGGATTGTACTGTCTAATAATGTTAACCATATTGGAAATGGAAATCAACAAAAAATGTGATTAAGAATTTGTATTGTTTCAGGATGATATTACGAAAATCTTAAGTGATACTGTAATGGAGGTGGGAAACGAGCTGCTGCAAGACTTGAACTTAGGTGGAATCCTTGGATGAATACTTTACATTTGATTCACAGAACCTAACATCAAGTTACTCCAAAGTACCTAATCCATTTTCACCTTCATTACTAAAGAAATAAAGTTATTAATGTTAGATTGGAGTAACTTGATGTGGTGGCGTTATTACATATCATTAAATAATGGTCTACGTAAAATCTATATTTTATAATAATAAACAAATGCATACTTAACATTCTTTTGTTTTATTATGATTTCATAACAAAATTTAACAAAGCGCCATCTAGTGAAATTTATTCGAAACTTAAACTGAGTCAGCCTTATCTCTTAGAAAATTGTATTTCAAGGTTACAATAGATGTCAGTACCGATAAATGTAAGCTAAGTTAAATAAAATAAGTTATTTTAATAATTATATGTAAAAATTTATTGTGAAAATTTTTTAATTAATAAAAATTTTCAGTTTTTACTTGAATAAAAAATAAATAAAAATATTACTTGCGTTAAAGACAAATGTTATTGTGCAATGAAACGGTGGCATACTTTATCACCTGCTAATAGATAATCAAAAGTTTACTGTACCTAGTAAAATCTATGACCTAGTACCAAATTTCCAGTACAATTAACCTAAACAATGTTCCGAAACACAAGAATACACAATAACAATTAAAATAATCAACATTGTCAGTCTGTTTCGATATAAAGAACGATTTTACTATAAAACCGCTGTTAAACCGTCATAAAACGAAACACAATATTAGGATTTTGATACATTACGTCGTAAAATGTAAAATTAACGGGTGTCTGGCTTCACGACTATAGTAAAATTTTCATTATGACGCAGTTATGGGGATTCAAGGCCAGCTGATGTCTTTTGTTGAAATACGATATTAGAAACCATTTGTCCAGGGAAAGTGTGGGAGAGCCATGCTTCGGCACAAATGGGCCGGCTCGACCGGAGTGATACCACCGGCCTCACAGAAAACCGACGTGAAGCAACGCAGCAACGAAAATAGGAGGTGAGCCTATTGCTGTATACCGGGCACGTTTGCAGACACCGTGCTACTACTGAGATTTTTAAAAACCCAGTACTTAATACTTTGCCCGGGAATCGAACCCGCGACCCCTTGTCCGGCCAATGAGGCAGTCAATACTAATCTATACTAACTTCTTGGAGGAATAACAGGAGTTACACGTCTTTGTCAAGGTGACCACAGACTAAGATAATTTGTATTTTTATCACACTACAATGTGAGTAATGAGTTTTAGTTCAAATTATTCGACCTTAGAACTTAGTTCTTTAGTAAGGCCAACTCACTCACGCTCAACACTAAACGAGATTCTAGAAACGTTGGTTTAATTGAATCTTTGCTAATTCTACTTTACATTAGGTACTGCGTGAAGTCAGTGAAGTTAGTTTTCAATGGCAGCCTGTAATTCAGTCTCGAGGTCTTATTCTTGTAAGGAGCGTGGTGTCGGTTCGTTTCGCTTCGGAATGTTAAATAGTGGTTGTTTTAAAGTATCATGTGTACCTAATTTGGAAGAGGAATTGTACATATTCCTCTGCCAAATTACATTAGTTCAGTTAACAGGTGTTTATGATACTAGTTTATTGTGTAAACTTACATAATAGATTAACTGTCGTACTTATGAGTTTTTTTATAGGAAAAGCCGGTAAACGAGCAGACGGATCACCTGATTGTAAGTAATCGGCGTCGCCCATGGACACCTGGAATACCAGAGGCGGTACAAGTGCGTTACTTGTCTTTTAAGGATTAGGAATTTGAGGATTGTTTGGGATTCAGGGATTGGGGAGATTGGCGAAGTGCGGGGGGGGGGAGGGTTGTGGCATTGAGCTTCCGGTAACCTCGCGCACACGACAAAACACAACGCAAGCAGTGTCGGTTTTCTTTGAGGCCGTGGTATCGCTCCAGTCGACCCGGCCCATTCGTTCCGAAGCATGGCTCTCCCACACTTATAGATTATTTATTTTATAGATTTTAAATAAAGATAAATTATTATATTTCGGTAAGTAGTTGAGATGAATAATATTTGATAATTAATTCATATAGATATAACTCTAACTATCACTTTTGTACCCAAAACTCTCTACTACTTTCTCAACCGAAGAAATGAAAGATATTATAGATTAACAGTCGTACTTACCAGTAATTTAATGTTTTTTTTATAGGAAAAGCCGGTAAACGGTCTGACGGATCACCTGATTGTTAGTAATCGGCGTCGCCCATGGACACCTAAAATACCAGAGGCGGTACAAGTGCGTTACTGATCTTTTAGGGATTAGGATTAGGAATATGTGGATTAGGGATTTAGGGATTGGGGAGGTTGGCAAATTGCATTGGGCCTCCGGTAACCTCACTCACACTACGAAGCACATTCCAAGCGTTTCTGAATGTTCATGTCGCTTTTCTGCTCGGCCGTGATATCACTCCGGTCTAGCCGGCCCATTCGTGCCGAAGCATGGCTCTCCCACACTTGAAGATTATTTATAGATTTCAAATATAGATCAATTATGATGAAAAATAATTGATAACTAATTCATATAGATAAAACTCTAACTAACTATCTCTTTTGTACCCAAATCTCTCTACTACTTTCTCAACCGAAGATATGAAAGACATTTAATTTTTCCCATACAATCTTTAGAATTAAAATTTCTTTTGAAAAAATTCAAAAAGTGCCAGAAGTTTGAAACTACTTCCCGTTCGTTCCGGAAACTGCGTTCATTGTGGTCTAGGGTTGTCGAGCTAGACAACACGAATGCTCAAAGGAAACTTTGAAATTAGTTTGTCTAGTCATAATTCTTAGAAAGACGAAGGTATTATGAATGAAATCGTGATATTATTTCTTGTCTTTGTGAAAGAAAACATATTAAGTTACGGTAATGATCGTTTGACTTTGAATTAAATTGTGATAGTGTACGGATCATCTTTGTCGGTCAACTTATTCACCGAATTTTTGATTTTACATCAAAACAGATACAGTTGAAAATCTAATAACGAAGGTTAATTTTAGTCACTTGATTTAAATATATTATCGTCATATGAATCCGTCGACACTTCTTATGGTCCCATTGTCAATATACATAGATCAAACCTGTTGATGTTACTCTGTATATCAAAACAAAGAAAAAATATTCCATGCATATAATATTGAATCTATATTGATGGGTAGGTACCAAAGATATTTTCATAAAAAGTGAAATTGACGTCGAGGGTTAATTCGATTCACCGTAGGTATAGTTTATTTATGTATCTACGTACGAAAAGTAGGTGATCGTGGTTAGCTTCCTACTTCATACATTTACTGTTAGTGTGTACATTTTGAACCTACAAGGATACCATTATGAGGGCCCGTCACATCCACCATCATCCCAACCACCGCCTGGTCAAGGCTGACCACCGCAAAAATTAACTGTAAAATGTCTAATCAAGAGCTGTTGACGCGGAGAACCTATCGGGTTACCGGGGCTCCGGCTCGACGTGCAGGAGAAGGAACGGGGTGGTTTTTAGTCAGTAAGAGTCTGACACTTCTTCCCGCCTCACCCAGACGGGGGGCAGCTATTCAATGATTTTCCCCCCTTAAAAAAATCAAGAGCTGTTAAATATCAATATATGTAAATGTCTAGCTAAAGGTAGGTATGTTGTTAATCAAATTCGTTTAGTAAATGTACATACTTACTTTCTGTAATTCTAGTGAGGATGAATACATACAAAGCTATATATACATTACATAAGCATGAATATATACATAACTTCATGCCTGTCTTCCATGGGGGTAGGCAGAGACTATGGAACGCCAAATGCGATGATGACAGGGTATGGAATTTAAAAATCTAATTAGTCCGTAAGTTAGGTAATGTAATATTAGACACGTATTTTTATTTTATCGTATAATAAAACAATACTTAGATAAAACGAATCAAAGTTTATGAGTGGGGGTTAAAATGTCATTTCTTGTATAAAATGCACATAGAAGTGACGTCACGCGACATTTCAAATCAATATATCGTTGAACGTATTCGTTTCTGTACGAAAATAAAAAAGATTTATCTAATGTTTAAAAACAATCTACTTACCAGACGGACATTAAAATAAAAATTAGGCATCTACCCTTTTGCTACGATTTTTTTAATCCTCCGCTTTATCAACAGTCATCATATTTTTATTTAGATACTTTTATGTATAGTGGATAAAATGAAAATTCGGCACCAAAAATGTATATATTTTGTTAGTGTTTGATTCTGTTTGTGTGTCAACCCTACGATGTTCTTTTGAATGAAACTGCAAGTTGGTCCTAGAGGACAGATTGGAGGAAGCTGAGTAGACACTTTAGGGTTTTCTTTAACAACTACCGATTTATTAATTAAAACTTGGATGATATATTTTTGTTGATAAAATTATTAATGAGCATTTGATGAAATTACATACAACATTTATTTATTAAACTAACGCCGGAATACTGAAACATTACTCAACTTTAAGTCGTGCTTAAATATCGTGCCATCTCTGTCTTTTACAAAGAATTTGTGGAGACAGAACTATACTTAAACGCGACTTAAAATTGAGTAACGTTTCAGTATTCCGACATAAGAGGAATAAAAATATTTTTTTTTATGCGGCAAGCCCGCCACATCCTCCCAAAACCGCTGCAACTCCTGTAAGCCAGGATCTACAGTAGATACAACCATGAAAACACCGAAACATTGAAGTCCGGCGCGTCCCAGGTATATGAAAATATGCCTAAACAAAACTAACTCAAATTGTCATCCACCAAAAAGATGATCATGAAGACATAAATAAACATAATATTTTAGTACTTACTTCTAAAAAAATTCTAAAATATATAAACATAATAATATATTATGTTCATAAATATCAGTAGTAGCACGGAGTCTGGAACTGTGCCCGGTATATGGCAATAGGCTCACCCCCTATTACATGGGACTCATAACATAAATGGTGAAAAGTGTGTCTTACATTGTTCAATGGTATTAAGTGCCGTAATCTGCCTACCCTTTCGGTGATTAAAGACGTAATGTTATGTGATATATTTAAGTAATTTTCGCCACGAAGAAAACCTCTTATTTGTCCATTTCTTAATCTCCAGAAGGAAAGCTTTAAATGATCAGTTAGAAAATATGACTAATATGACAAAACAATCATTTCATCATTAACAACAGTCTATAAATGCCCACTGCTGAGCAAAGTCTCTT